GAGTAATATGATCACTAATTTACTTGTGTGTACCTCACGCTTCAGCAAGATGAATACATGAAATACATATATTTTTGTATTCATATTAGTAGGCAAGCATTTCCTACGTCTTTCCTGTTGATTAGTGCAACTTACTACCATTCATAATATTGTTTGTATTGTATGAATTAATCTTGTGAGATGTATTACTACAACTGAAATCATTGTATGGTTGCGCTGTTTCTTCAAGTTAATTATTATATTGTATGTTGTGTATTTCACACCACTGTATGACTATGTTGTATGACTTCGTGCAACGGGTTCTACTCAATGTATGATTGTATTGTAAGACTTATGTAACAGTAATACTGTCTATAATAATGCTGTATAATTTATAGTGTGATGCTTGTAATACTGTTTATTACAATGTCGTATGATTGCTTAGTACGAGAAGTGAATTACTGTCTATACTATTATATGACAATGTAGTTTGAAGAGTGTAAATATGTCTATTATATCAATGTGTGATGTAATATATGATTAGTGTTATACTGTCTATCATCATAATTATCACCGTATAATGACTGTAATAGTACCTATTATATCATTGTGTTGTGTTTATAGTACTTTATGGTATGATGCGTGTACTATTATTATTCTCTTATGTGTGTGTCTGTCCATGTGCATGTGTGAGTCACTATGTCAGGGTGTGACCATGATTGTGAATGCATTTTCTTCTCTTTTCAATAGTGTTTTGTTCGTTATTTCTGTAACTCTTCATTTCTGGAGGAAATAAAGGAAATAATAATAATAGTGCGGTAAGAAGTTGCAGTTGCCTGACGGCCCCTCTCTGGGGGCCCCTTTTGAAACCGTTTCATCTCGCTCGCACCACTTGTGTTTACTGCCTAGTCATGTGACGTTATCGGCGTTATATTTAGCAGGGCTTTCCCGAACAATTCAAGTGGTCAAACTGGACATTTGGAACGGACTATGAATATGGGGATAGCGAGGCAACATAAGTGGAAGTGCATACAATACATACATTCATTAAAAAAGACGCCTTTTCACGTGATGTCCCTTTAATACCACACTGGAAAACATTGTAAATATGCCGTGGATTTTATATTGTAAATTACGCATGTTGTAACTGTTTATCGTTTTTATATATGTTTTATGCATAAGATTATTAAGGAAAATGAAAATACATGATTAAAAATAAGAGCAGAAAAAGAGGAGAAAAGAAAAGAGATGAGTTTAGACCAAAGTTTTCGATTTCCACAATTTCCTTATAAAAAATGTCTCGTAGGGAGAAGGTGGGCTAGAAAAAGATTCAGAACAAATCTTACATTACATTACGCTGGTATTTTTTTCCCCGTTTAAATATCACTTCCTTTCTTATAATGTATGCTTAAGAGATTATTACTCATCAGCTATTTCTATTATATCACTCGTTACCTACAAGACAATGTAGCAATGAAGTAAAACGACACAACTTTGGGCCAAGTCAGGTAAAACAATTCATAGTAAATTCGTATCTGTGCGCGGAAACGAGCATTTCTGTCAAAGAGATTCTATCCCTAGATTATAACAACAAAATTACTCTACAATACCTGCATACACTATCAAGTCGGACCACTCTGTCAATGCAAAATTATTCTACAAGACCGGCATACACTATTAGGTCGGACCACTCTTTCAATGCAAAATAAAAAGAGATTATCAAACTTTTTTTCAAGTAAGATTCTCACATTACGATATTGTACATGTACTTATGCAAAAAATATTTGGTATTTTGTAGAGACCCGTGGTAAAATATATAATAGAGTGGTGTTTAGTACATATATTTGTAAATGTGCATGCACGGAATAGGCCTAAATGGAATATAACGTGGTTGTAAGTTACAAGGTTGTTGATGTATGATAATGTTCTGTATATTACATGATGCTATATGCTGTACTTGTATATTGGTGTACAGTATATGGTTTAGGTGTTGTACAGTATACACATGTAATGTTACGCTGCACCGACACGTTATAGTGGTGTATTGGTATAAGGTAAAGTTACACAAATAACTCGCTCAGTCAACACTTGACAAAGGGGCCAGCCGGTCTTGAAATTTGCGACACGTTTAATACGTATACATTGTTTATGTATCACGAAATAGCGCTAAAAAGACGGAATGACGGACGGACGGACCACTGACGCAGGGTGATTTGAATAGCCCACCACCTGAAGATGGTGGGCTTAAAATCAATAAAAACATAGTGATGATCATTGTATGTGGAGTAAAATATGAAACATATGGTTGTAGCCGAAAACTGCTATTTGAAATTGCTTTTTTTAAGCAAGCAAATATAACAGGGACATGCTTATTTGAATTGGAATGTAGATCACATCGTCTACTTGGAGCTCCAATCAAATTGATGCAACAGTTAATCAAACATGAGTGCCAACTTTATATCTTAAATTAGCTTAGTTTTCATTCGGAAAAAGTGGATACTAAAAAAACATGTTCTAGTTAGGGAAGGTTTGGGCAAGTAAGTTCGGTCCACGTTGGAATCAGCATAATAGCATGCGACGTCAGGTTTTCCCTGTCAACTTCACGACCATTTATATAATGTTGCATGGGCTGAACTTGTCCCGGCCGGACTTACCCCGGGGCCGAACTTGCCATTGTCTCCCATATACTAAGCGATATACCATATATATTAATCCCTAGAATATAATGACAGCCTTAATGCCAATTCCTAAGCGCGAAATTGTGTGGCAAATTAAAGGCTATTTTCCTTAATAAACTCCTGTATCCGCCCCTGTGAGCATGATAATGGTTTCATAAATACGGGCCCAGGTATGTGTTTCCGTCAAAAATTGAAGACAAAACGAAAATAGAGTACATATACTGTGTTTCCTGAAATATTATTCTACTATGCAGTTATCCCCCTTTGACCTGGTCGCCGGTAACGAAAGCACTCCAGCAAAATGTTTCGTACCAAGCTCATTGTGCCACAGGGGCCCTGTTTCGGGATACTTTCGGTTAATTATAAACCTATACACACCAGTAAATAACAGCAACACTTGTTATCCGGTGTTTATACACATTCTAAAACCTTCTAAAAATTGAGGGTATCGGGTACCCTCAATTTTTAGAAGGTTTTAGAATGTGGGGCTGTTATTTACTGATGTGTATAGATTTATTATTAACCGAAAGTATCCCGAAACCGAGCCCCTGTGCATTGTGCGTGCCAAATGGGACCATTTTACGGAGGGTGTCGACGGTTTCCAAATGAAGCGGATGGTGTAGCATCCTTCATCTAGGAATATTGCTATTTGATAAATGGTTTTACTTCTAGCCTCCTGTGCACATGTCGTAGAACGGACTTAGAATTCCAGATAGGTGGTTGTATGGGTAGAGATCCAGTTTCCAAAAAAACATATATATTATGCACAGTCTATAGACCTCCAAACTGTACGCACAATTTCTGGAACCTTTTTCGATTCGACACTCTGTCGAAACAGCTTTGAATGAGACACTGTATATTGTAATAGTTGGTGATGTAAATGTAGACCTTCTGGTAGTAGTTAATAACCACGCACTTTTAGATATTATAAACTCTTTCCGCCTCTCGAATGTAATTGACAGACCGACTAGAATTGGACGCACGTGCTGCTCGATCCTTGACCCCATTCTTCTATCGGACACGTGTACTTTTACGATATCGGACACTATTGACATAGACCGCGAAATTTCAGACCATCAAGCGACATGTGTATATTTGAAAATAGGCAAGCCACATGTCTAGTTTTCTGCGACATTTCTAAAGCATTTGACTGGGTGTGGCACAGGGGGCTGAAAGTGAAACTGTCAAGTTATGGAATTTCAGGAAAATTGTTGAATTGGTAAACTTTTTACGCTAGTGGTTGGGTCAATAGTAGTCGTAGACTAATGGTATGACGTCGACAACGGTGAGTTAACGGCGAGTTATGAACTATGTAACAAATAGATCTCAACAAGTATTCATTGGAAATTGGAAATCAACTGTAAAGACCACAAATGCAGGTGTGCCTCAGGGTTCGGTTCTTGGTCCGTTGCTGTTTATACTAGATATGAACGATATAACTGACAATCTAGAAAGCCTTTCGAAACTCTTTGCAGATGATACTTCTCTTTTATGTTCTGATAAGTCTCCTCAAGTAATCGAACAAATAGGGATCTCGGAAAATATACAATTGTGGGCTGATAGGTGGTAAGTTAAATTTAACCCTGCTAAAACAGGGGCTTTATTAAGTTTGTCATTAATAGCAGTGTGTGTTATAGGACCATGACAACATTTGCTAAAACATTCATTGCTTAAATGGGCCCAAGGCAAAGAGTACCATCAATTTAGATTTTTGTTTTGTTATGAGTACGATTATGTATGATTAAATATCTCCTTTAAATAAACAGCCTGACGAATCTCTTTGATGATATGAAAATGCTAAGGACGTGTTGATGATCATTTTTCTTTTTATATAATATACATTTGTGAATATATATACCTCAGTGAGGACTTCATGACATAGTTAGAAATGACAGCTAGTGTATCAGTAAAATACGGAGAAAAAGACAGATAGATTTTTTTTCTAAATATACCATGACAGATAAAGAATTTTGAGGATGCCCGTAAATCAAGGGGCCGCATTCACGGAAACGTTCTCATGCTCAAACCCAGATTCTGGGATCAAGCCCAATATCTTGTTCCAGTGATAAATGTAAAATAATATTGTTGTCTTAAAGTATTACAATGTTAACATTTTATTGTTCGAGCATGTCACATTATTTAAGTGAGTAACAGAGTTTGTTTGAGCACAGAATCCATGCTTGAGCATGAGAACGGTTTCGTGAATACGGGCCGAGGTGTCGGTAATATAAGTTCAGTCTCACTTCAATGTATGACATTCCATACGTTTTAACGAATCTGTGACATGTTTAAAACGACGGTTACAAAAATATAACATGAACACAAAAATCAATTTTAGGATATTTTATTGATCACATGATTGTTAGTTGTACTACATAAAATTCGCCGGAACAAAACTGACCAATACAAAGCGAGCAAAAATTTGCATGTTGGTAATTCTGCAGAACCTGGTGGTCAGCTTAACTGGCCACGACAACACCTTTAATTTAAAATATATTCATTTAATGATTTTTAAAAATCAAATTATATTTTTTCATTTTTTTCATCATTAATATTTTGGGGACGAACGTATCTAGCCAGGAAAAGGTAGCCTACCTAGTGAGGGAAGGGTGAAGGACATTATACCAACCTAGCAAAGGGCACATTACCTAGAGATGGATATAGCACGAACCCAGTGAGGGACATAGTACCTGGAGAAGGATATAGTACCAACCCAGTGAGGGATATAGTACCTGAAGAGGGATATAGTTCCACCCCAGTGAGAGACATAGTACCTAGAGAGGGATATAGTACCAACCCAGTGAGGGGCATAGTACCTAGAGAGGGATATAGTACCAACCCAGGGAAGGACATAGTACCTAGAGAAGGATATAGTACCAACCTAGCATAGGACACATTACCTAGAGAAGGATATAGCACGAACCCAGAGAGGGACATAGTACCTAGAGAAGGATATAGTACCACCCCAGTGAGGGACATAGTACCTAGAGAAGGATATAGCACGAACCCAGTGAGGGACAAAGTACCTAGAGAAGGATATAGCACGAACCCAGTGAGGGACATAGTACCTAGAGAAGGATATACCACGAACCCAGTGAGGGACATAGTACCTAGAGAAAGATATAGTACCAACCCAGTAAGGGACATAGTACCTAGAGAAGGATATAGTACCACCCCAGTGAGGGACATAGTACCTAGAGAAGGATATAGCACGAACCCAGTGTGAGAGACATAGTACCTAGAGAAGGATATAGTACCAACCCAATGAGGGACATAGTACCTAGAGAGGGATATAGTAACAACCTAACATAGGACACATTACCTAGGGAAGGATATAGTAACAACCCAATGAGAGACATAGTACCTAGAGAAGGATATAGTACCAACCTAGCATATGACACATTACCTAGAGAAGGATATAGCACGAACCCAGAGAGGGACATAGTACCTGGAGAAGGATATAGTACCAACCCAGGGAGGGACATAGTACCTGGAGAAGGATATAGTACCAACCCAGTGAGGGACAGAGTACCTAGAGAGGGATATAGTAACAACCCAGTGAAGGGCATAGTACCTAGAGAGGGATATAGTAACAACCCAGTTAGGGACATAGTACCTGGAGAAGGATATAGTACCAACCCAGGGAGGGACATAGTACCTGGAGAAGGATATAGTACCAACCCAGTGAGGGAAATAGTACCTGGAGAAGGATATAGTACCAACCCAGGGAGGGACATAGTACCTGGAGAAGGATATAGCACGAACCCAGTGAGGGACATAGTACCTGGAGAAGGATATACCACGAACCCAGTGAGGGACATAGTACCTAGAGAAAGATATAGTACCAACCCAGTAAGGGACATAGTACCTAGAGAAGGATATAGTACCACCCAGTGAGGGACATAGTACCTAGAGAAGGATATAGTACCACCCAGTGAGGGACATAGTACCTAGAGAAGGATATAGTACCACCCAGTGAGGGACATAGTACCTAGAGAAGGATATAGTACCACCCCAGTGAGGGACATAGTACCTAGAGAAGGATATAGTACCACCCAGTGAGGGACATAGTACCTAGAGAAGGATATAGCACGAACCCAGTGAGGGACAAAGTACCTAGAGAAGGATATAGTACCTAGAGAAGGATATAGAGTGAGGGACATAGTACCTAGAGAAGGATATAGCACGAACCCAGTGAGGGACAAAGTACCTAGAGAAGGATATAGTACCTAGAGAAGGATATAGAGTGAGGGACATAGTACCTAGAGAAGGATATAGTACCACCCCAGTGAGGGACATAGTACCTAGAGAAGGATATAGTACCAACCCAGTGAGGGACATAGTACCTGGAGAAGGATATAGTACCAACCCAGTGAGGGATATAGTACCTGAAGAGGGATATAGTACCAACCCAGTGAGAGACATAGTACCTAGAGAGGGATATAGTAACAACCCAGTGAAGGACATAGTACCTAGAGAGGGATATAGTAACAACCCAGTGAGGGACATAGTACCTAGAGAAGGATATAGTACCAACCCAGTGAGAGACATAGTACCTAGAGAAGGTTATAGTACCAACCCAGTGATGGACATAATACATAGAGAGGGATATAGTACCAACCCAGTGAGGGACATAGTACCTAGAGAAGGAAATAGTACCAACCCAGTGATGGACTTAGTACCTAGAGAAGGAAATAGTACCAACCCAGTGAAGGACAAAACACCTAGAGAAGGATACAGAACCAACCCAGTGAGAGACATAGTACCTGAGAAGGTTATAGTACCAACCCAGGGAGGGACATAGTACCTAGAGCGGGATATAGTAACAACCCAATGAGGGACATAGTACCTGGATATAGTACCAACCCAGTGAGGGACATAGTACCTAGAGAGGGATATAGTACGAACCTAACATAGGACACATTACCTAGAGAAGGATATAGTACCAACCCAGTGAGCCACCCACTGAGGGACATAGAACCTAGAGAGGGATATAGCACCAACCCAGTGAGGGACATAGTACCTAGAGGAGGATATAGTACCTAGAGAAGGATATAGTATCAACCCAGTGAGGGACATAGTACCTAGAGCGGGATATAGTACCAACCCAGTGAGGGACATAGTACCCGGAGAAGGATATAGTACCAACCCAGTGAGGGACATAATATCTGGAGAAGGATATAGTACCAACCCAGTGAGGGACATAGTTCCTGGAGAAGGATATAGTACCAACCCAGTGAGGGACATAGTACCTGGAGAATGATATAGTACCAACCCAGTGAGGGACATAGTACCTAGAGAAAGATATAGTACCACCCACTGAGGGACATAGAACCTAGAGAGGGATATAGTACCAACCCAGTGAGGGACATAGTACCTAGAGAAGGATATAGTACCTAGAGAAGGATATAGTACCAACCTAGCATAGGACACATTACCTAGGGAAGGATATAGTATCAACAGGATATAGTACCAACCTAGCAAAGGACACATTACCTAGAGAAGGATATAGTACCAACCCAGTGAGCCACCCACTGAGGGACATAGAACCTAGAGAGGGATATAGTACCAACCCAGTGAGGGACATAGTTCCTGGAGAAGGATATAGTACCAACCCAGTGAGGGACATAGTTCCTGGAGAAGGATATAGTACCAACCCAGTGAGGGACATAATATCTGGAGAAGGATATAGTACCAACCCAGTGAGGGACATAGTACCTAGAGAAGGATATAGCACGAACCCAGTGAGGGACAAAGTACCTAGAGAAGGATATAGTACCTAGAGAAGGATATAGTACCAACCCAATGAGGGACATAGTACCTAGAGAGGGAAATAGTAACAACCCAGTGAAGGACATAGTACCTAGAGAGGGATATAGAAGGACACATTACCTAGAGAAGGATATAGTATCAACCTAGCATAGGACACATTTCCTAGGGAAGGATATAGTATCAACCTAGCATAGGACACATTGCCTAGAGAAGGATATAGTACCTAGAGAAGGATGTAGTACCAACCCAATGAGGGACATAGTACCGATATAGTAACAACCCAGTGAAGGACATAGTACCTAGAGAGGGAAATAGTAACAACCCAGTGAAGGACATAGTACCTAGAGAGGGAAATAGTAACAACCCAGTGAAGGACATAGTACCTAGAGAGGGATATAGTAGAGAGGGATATAGTACCAACCCAGTGAGAGACATAGTACCTAGAGAGGGAAATAGTAACAACCCAGTGCAGGACATAGTACCTAGAGAGGGATATAGAAGGACACATTACCTAGAGAAGGATATAGCACGAACCCAGTGAGGGACATAGTACCTAGAGAGGGATATAGTACGAACCCAGTGAGGGACATAGTACCTAGAGAAAGATATAGTACCACCCAGTGAGGGACATAGAACCTAGAAGGGGTATAGTACCAACCTAGCATAGGACACATTACCTAGAGAAGGATATAGTACCAACCCAGTGAGGGACATAGAACCTAGAGAAGGATATAGTACCAACCTAGCATAGGACACATTACCTAGAGAAGGATATAGTACCAACCCAGTGAGGGACATAGTACCTAGAGAAGGATATAGTACCAACCTAGCAAAGGGCACATTACCTATAGAAGGATATAGTAACAACCCAATGAGGGACATAGTACCTAGAGAGGGATATAGTAACAACCTAACATAGAACACATTACCTAGGGAAGGATATAGTATCAACCCAGTGAGGGACATAATACCTAGAGAGGGATATAGTAACAACCCAATGAGGGACATAGTACCTAGAGAGGGATATAGAAACAACCCAATGAGGGAAATAGTACCTAGAGAGGGATATAGATAGTACCTAGAGAGGGATATAGATAGTACCTAGAGAGGGATATAGTAAGAAGGATATAGTACCACCCCAGTGAGGGACATAGTCCCTAGAGAGGGATATAGTACGAACCCAGTGAGGGACATAGGACCTAGAGAGGGATATAGTACCAACCCAGGGAGGGACATAATACCTAGAGAGGGATATAGTACGAACCCAGTGAGGGACAAAGTACCTAGAGAAGGATATAGCACGATCCTTGTGAGGGAAATAGTACCTAGAGAGGGATATAGAAACAACCCAATGAGGGACATAGTGCCTAGAGAGGGATATAGTAACAGCCCAATGAGGGACATAGTAGCTAGAGAGGGATATAGTAACATATAGTACCAACCTAGCATAGGACACATTCCCTAGAGAAGGATATAGCACGAACCCAGTGAGGGACATAGTACCTAGAGAGGGATATAGTAACAACCTAGCATAGGACACATTACCTAGAGAAGGATATAGCACGATCCTTGTGAGGGACATAGTACCTACAGAGGAAGAGAACCTACCTAGTAATGGACATAATACCTCGTGAGTGACAGTGCTTCCAGAGAGGGATATAGCACGATCCTAGCGAAGGACATAGTACCTAGTGAATGACAGTGTTATTAGCGAGGGATATAGTACCAATCTAGCAAGGAACAGAGTACATAAAGAGGGATATAACACCAATCAAGCGAGGGGCATATAGTACCTATTGAGAGGCAGAGTACATACCTAGCGAGGGACAGGGTACCAGTAGTTGATCTGACGCTGGATGCACATTGGGAACAATACCATATGCTCCTCCTCAAAATGATGGGCGAACTTCCTCTCCAAGTACAGGTCATTCCATGGCAGCTATTTGGTCAGTACCACGGACAACTCTAGTCCATAGTTAAACAACATCATGGCGTTTGACCTTTTTGCGAAATTTGCCTCGTCTTTCTTACAAGTACCGGAGGGCTTCCACAAGGATCTCCTTTTAACCTGACACGGGGCAGTACCGCAGTGACGACAGAGGGAAGGACCTGTACAAACAAATATTTATGTTAGGTCAACTTTTCGAAATCCAAGGTTTAAGTTTTCGACAAACAAAACATTACTTTCTATGCATCCTTAGATTTTATCATAACGGAACCCGGGACTGACAGTTAATTATCTGACTAGTTCCAGACACCCAAGTCTAACCAATTATAATGCTGCTAGAAAAGTGGCACCCGTTCTTTAAACATGACCAAAGAGCTACTCAAAGATTAAAGTCTGTCAAGATTCACAATCACACGGTACGTTCCCAAACAATTCACTTTAATACTTAATCAAAACATTGGTCTGAGAACACAGGTATGCGCGATACTAAAATGGTTTGCAAGCTAACAAACGTGTATCATCCGGAAGGTGGCGCGTTATGGTAGTTTTACAACCCTTGGTTCATAAAAAGGGTACGTTAATGTTCGAAAACGTCTTAATTAAAAGGTTAACAGAACACTAGAACTGAAAACTGCTGCTTTATTCAATATTTTAACATTCGCTGGTTACTTACGAGCTCTCCATTCTTGGTACATTGACACGACGGCAGACCATTTCTCTTTGACGACTTTTCCGATCGACGGCGCATAGCCCAACAGCAGAGTTAGAAGCACACACAACAGATTACAGAATACCCAATTCCCAATTCGCTAAAATAAATCAAATCATAATTATTTTCAGGAAATTGTACTATAAAACACACATTCAATGTTCCATACCCGCAAATTCCTAAGATACCGACACAGGTGAAGAAACCCGTTTTACAGCCGGCGGCTGATAAAAGCATAAATTGTTGACGTTTTCATGACAGTCGTTAACATTAAAAATATATAATCCTTACCCATGTCAGGTCGGTAACCGTTGGACAGACTTTCTCAATTTCACTTGCGGTGAAATGATAAAACAATCTTTTGGCATATCCTGGCTCGAGCTCCACGCTACAGAATCAAAATGATTAAGTTAAAAGTAAATATTTCTAAACATTAAATGGCAACACAATCGTAAACTTGAAAAGGTTATTGACATTAATTTGAGCGAAGCGAGATCTTTGCGAAATGTCAAGTCAAAGAATAACATCTAAGATCCAATCTTACGATGCCTGGTCCAAACCTTACCACGTAAGGTCCCGATACACAGCAGGCCCTTGGTTTATGGCGCACATCATTACCACAAATATCAAGAATAACCTGATATTCATTGTGGTAATCGAGGGTTTAAACAAAAGAAGTAAATGTCAGGGGAGAGACTATCATCTCCGCCTTTGCCGATTGCTATGCAGCTAAGTAACAAGTATGTGACGTCACAAGTGGGTATCTCTATTTTACCGATCATGACGTCAGGCTATTGTCTTTTACCTAACGAGTACAAGCGCTGTTGGTGACACTATGGTACAAAAATGATATGAGTCGAACCCAGGACTGGAGACAGTGCGTGTTTCTTGCAGCAGTCGAATTGGGGAATAATAGCGACAGGATATGTTTACCTTAGAATTCCACTAAAATTCGAACACAGGACAAGCGACACTTGGGCCCGTATTCATGAAACCGTTCTCATGCTCAAACATGGATTATGTGCTCATACCAGTTTTCCTGTAACTAACTTAAATAATGTCAAACGATCAAAAAGTCAAATGTAACATTAGAAACAGGATACGGCCTATAATTTTGTCCAAATCATTAACAAAATTAGATTTTTTTATTAATCTGTAATCGGAATAAAAAATTAAGGTTGAGCACAAAATTCTTTCTTAAGCATGAGAACGATTTCATAAATACGGACCCATGGTATGAGTTTACGTCAGAAATTGAACACACAACGAAATGAGAGTACATGTTTCCTGAAATATTGTTCTATTATGAGTTGAAATCTGGACAAGCGACACATGTCATGCGCAGTGTGTCGAACCCATGCCCATATTAATAAAACTTGGGTTGTGTAAAATTGAAACTTGAACAAAATTTAACACATATTAAAAATGCATACCCTGGTCAATGTCCACACTTTTCAAAATAACTCACCTGAATATTCATTGATCAATATACAAACTTAGACGATAAGTTCGAAGTTGAGCGAAATCCATGCATTATTAATAAGCATACTCCGCTCTGATTGGTCAATGGTTTTTGCCCCGTAACTTTGTCAGAAAAGACCAGATTCTGATGAAACTTGATTAATATATTATTCAAAAACAAAGGCGAAATTCAAATATGAATACAGTCTGTGCATACTCTATTAACAAATTTAGCTCTGATTTGAAGCTGGTTTCCACAATAATTTAGTCAAATATGACTTTATTCTGATGAAACTTTGTCAACATCTTAACTAATAACACAATCTGTCAGTGATTTATAAGTAATAAGGGAATATCTTTGGCTTTAATGGTTTAAGATAATCAGCTATTGGCATTAAACGTTTGAAATATGGACTGTAACTTTTTTCGCATACAACAGATTCAACTTTCACTGTACTTAAAACATGGCTCGTGTCCCTGCCGGAATGGAGATGTTCTGGAATCATAAAATATGGAGATGACGAACTAATAGAGAAATAATCACCCAAGTCAGCAAGTTCAGGTTCAGGACTTATATTCAAGTTTACATAATAGTATAATAATCTCACAATTGAAATTCAATACTAAATGGAAAAAATGGGAAAGTCTAATTAATATTGCTTCAGCCCTGTCTTTGCCAAAATATAACATATGACTATAGAATTTTCTTATATAAACGTGTACTTCCAAAATGCTTATATGTAAAACTCCTTGAACTTTCCGACACATCTATATAGCTTCTTTGTTTCTCAATCTCCATCCCCCACTCTCTCTCTCTCTAGTCTTACTTTCCCTTCTATACCTCTAGGACCTGCTCTAACCTCTTTTCTATCACTTCTAAACAATGCTTTTATATAACGGACATAATTTAGCTGTACTTTAATTGGACATAAACATAATTAATTATCAATTATACCTGGAAATATGCAGTTTATTATAAATGAATATTTAGTGAATGAATTGCAATGTGTGAGAGGAACAATGTTTATGTATGATATATTTGCATTGTTATAAATTTGGAATTTTTTTAAAAAAAAACTCACAATAAAACAGACTGGTAGCGAATTAGACTATAAGTATCTATTTTCAATGTAAAACGGTGACTAGTACTAATAAGTGTCTAGAGTAGACGTTCTATACTATACAATTATGGACTGAAGTCTCGGTCTATTCCTGATTTACGGATCTGGTCTGAATAATATATATTTTGTTCGAGACTCAAGTCCACAATTGTTTTATTATATGACATTTTACAATGAGATTAAAACTTTTTTATGTCATAAACACATGGATGGCATGGACCATTTAGGAATCACAGAGTGAAGGACTTCAAATACAAAATAGCAACACAAAAATTTAATTTCAAATTCAATCTATGTGATATTTAATTTTAAGTAAATATTATTTGCACAGTCGACATCATTAATATTCACATAGTTCAGAATTTGATGGGATAATTCATTTTTAGTTGAATTCAGTAGTGTGATTGCTAACAGAATTACAGACTGTCTGGGAAATTATCTAGGCCTATTTTTAGTAGAGACAGAGACGTGTATTATACACGTCTCTGGTAGCGGTTTGTAGCACTTTTCTATTTATAGGTCGAGGTCTGTAACACTTTTCTATTCATAGAACGAGGTCTGTAACATATTTACAGATTCGTCACATGACGTCGCTCCTCCAATCAGGGCTGGGAATTAGCACCAGTTATATAATAAAATATTATAGCTTTAAATATATCTTGAAATAAATAATAATGAATTATTTGCTATAATAATACATAAGAATATATTCTAATAAATATCTAAGATAAAACTTAGTGACAAATCCTTACTTTGATGCTGAATAGAAAACCCTGCTAATCGCCTGTCTAGTTTGGTCGAGTGCTCAATTCCGGCATATATATAGCGTTCGGAATATATATTACTGTGCACCCTGACGTCACAGCGCGCGCTATCCAAGATGGCGGCTCCCCTGTAGTAAATTGACTGATGGAAGTTTTGTATACTTATTTTTGTTATAAGACTACTTTTAAAAGGTATGGACATAATATAAAGGTTTAGATAAATAGAATACTACACAATATATATAAAATAGCATGTATTTTGATATGACAATAATTATTTTAGTAATAAGAACCTATTGAAATATAGTTGAGTCTTAGCGTAATGCTTAAGATGGACAACACGTGTTTACCAGCCTGTTACAAATAGGGCCTACCCCTGTAGATAAAAAAATATTGGTCTCCGTACCAATGTATGTTTATTGAATTGTTAAATAGAATAAAGGGGTTAGCATAAAACTTATGTAATAAAAAATCCGAAAAAATTGTCTGCCTAGATGTTAATTTCCCTTTAGGCTCAGAATGCTAAGTCCTTATTTTGTTGTGGCGGGATGGGGACCTCCTAGGCTTGGTAGTCACCTTCCTGTTGTGGACCGCCTCAAAATGACAAAACAAATCGTCGCACCGGAAATACTTCCGATTACACCGTCTACAATCATAGCTCTGCCTGTAGGCATTAAGAATATATTCTAATAAAGTTATAAATGATCGTTGGACACAGCCTACCTTGTGATTGTAACTTGAACCGGTAACTGAATTGTCTGTCGCAGACATTGCAGAGGTACATCTGTAAAGTAAGATTTGGCATTTTAGAAAATATGATGAAGATTTCACAATTGTGTAGTAATACATAAATCCCCCGTCCTAGCTATCTTATTGAACTTTTATAAATTCAATTTATCTGGCTTTGTTACAGTTCTTTTTGATTTACGTCCCTTCTCTGAACTTTCTGTAGGTGTGACTTTTTCTCTAGGTAACAAACGTCTCCAGTAGTGCGGTGGTTGACTATTGTATGTTTTAAGTTTCATGGTGAGCTCATGCCATTACGCAGCGTCCGTCATCCGTCCGGCCGTCCATCCGTCAACATTTCCTTTAAAACGCTACTAGTCCTGAACGGCCAAGTAGATTTTGACTGAATTTGGTCTGGAGCATCCTTAATTAGGCCAAAGGGACTCAATTTTGTATAAATGGTAGGTGTGGCCCCCCTGGGGGCAGAGGGATGGGGCCCAATAGGAGAAATAGAGGTAAAAACCTTCAAAATCCTTCTCCTACCGTAGGGATTAAGGGATTTTATGCTTATTAAGTCTGGAGCATCCTTGGGCCAAGGGGACTCAATTTTGTATAAATGGTGGATGTGGCCCCCCTTGGGGCAGAGGGCCGGAGCCGAATAGGGGAAATAGAGGTAAAACCTTCAAAATCCTTCTCCTACCCTAGGGACTAAGGAATTTTATCCTTATTAAGTCTGGAGCATTATTGGGCCAAGGGGACTCAGTTTTGTATAAACAGTGGGTTTGGCCCACCAAGGGCTTGAGGGGTGCGGCCCAATAGGGGAACATAACAAATTATTCTTTAAAATCCTCTTACTTCTGTAGGAATGACAGGATTTGGTCCATATTTGGTGTAGAGCATCCTTGGGTTAAGGAAAACCAACTTTGTATAAATAGTGGGTCTGCATGGCCTCCTTGGGGGCGGAGGGGCAGGGCCCAATATGGGAAATATAGCAAATTCTTAAAAATCCTTCTTCTGTAGGAATGACAGGATTTATTCCATATTTAGTCTGAAGCATCCTTGGGTGAAGGGGAACCAATTTTGTATAAACCATGGGTCTGACCCCTCAGGGGCCTGAGGGGCGGGACCCAATAGGGGAAACATAGCAAATTATTCTTTAAAATCCTTCTTATTCCATAGGAATGAAAAGATTTGGTCCATATTTGGTGTGGAGCATCCTTGGGTAAAGGGGAACCAATTTTGTATTAACCGTGGGTGTGGCCGCCCTGGGACCTGAGGGGCTGGACCCAATAGGGGAAATAGAGGTAAAACCTTTAAAATCCTTCTTCTACCATAGAGATTAAGGGATTTTANAAAATTATTCTTCTGTATGAATGACATAATTTTGTCCAAATTTGGTATGAAGCATCCTTGAGTGAAGGGGATTCAATTTTGTTTAAGCAGTGGGTGTGGTCTCCCAGGGGGCAGAAGGGCTGGGCCCAATAGGAGAAATAGAGGTAAAACCTTGAAAATCCTTCTTCGACCATCGTGATTAAGGGATTTTATCCTTATTTAGTCTGGAGCATCCTTTGGCAAAGGGGACTCAATTTTGTATAAATGGTGGGTATGACCCCCCTTAAAGAGTCATGGGGTGGGGCTCTGTTTGA